TGTTTTTTCCTTCACAGATGCTGCCAGACCTGCTAAGCTTTTCCAGCAACTTTGTTTTTGTTCCTGATTTACAGCATCCGTAGTTCTTTTGGTTTTCAAAAGTACATTACTGGCTGTGCACTGTTATAGAAATGTCTTCTTATGACTGTGCAAACTGATTGCTCTAATAACATCCAAACACACTTGTAAAAGGTGATATACAGGATGAAAACATGACAGCTATTCAGACAGTTAACCGTACAATAGATGGCACAACAGGCTTACAAAACCAACGTCAAGAGGGTGCATTTATATCATCCGGCAGCAGAACGTGCCAGCTAGACCAATGAATCTCCCAGTACAAACTACAGACCAGATCACATTACTGGAATGTCACATGCTGCTCGTGACAAGCCCCTCCAGTTCACCATTCTGAGGCATCGCAAAGGTCAGCAGCCTGGAGATCAAAACCAAAACAGAAAGTGCTGGAGAAACTCCGCAGGTCTGGCAGCATCTGTGGAGAAAGAAAAACAGAGTTAAGGTTTTGAATCCGATAAAACTCTACTTCAGATCTGGCTTTGAAGAAGAGTCACACCAGACTTGAAACGCTGACTCCATTTCTCTCTCCACATATGCTGCCAGACCCTGCTGAGTTTCTCCAGCACTTTCTGTTTTCCAGCATCAAGTGGTTTGTTTTTATTAGGCTTCAGATCAAACTGGCCAGACGCAAGAGTAAAAGGCCCGGGGGTGGGGAGTCCCAGGTTAATAGGGCCCATGGTATTGGTCTGACGCTGGGGGGATTACTTTTGCTCCTCATGTTGCAGTGACAATGGTTTTGCACGAACCAGATGTTACCCTCCTTCCAATTAAAAGCAGTACAGTTGCAGGCTGGGTGCTTCTCAAAATGGCTCCAGGGGCTGTCCAACGTAGGCATAAACCTTGATTTCTCTATCAAAAGGGCCCAGTGCTAACAGAATCAAGTGGACAGTCTGCAGCAGACCCCTTTTGAGCTAGTGTTGGCTGGGGGTAGGATGGACAAACAGGAGCAGGAGACAGTTTCCTTATCGTTTTGAAGGTGCCACCATCCAACCTTCTGCCTGAGACAGGTCAAATGCTCTGCAGTTAAAGAGCTGAGGAAAGGGAGAGCTCCAAGATACTTTACAGTAATTCCTAGGCACGTCCAGGAATCCCCGTCCATAATATTTCACTTAAAAGCCAGAAAATCAGGATTAATGGCAGCTGTCTTTTCCCTAGGATGGGGGGATTTCAAGTCTAGGGGCATATCTTTAAATTGAGAGGAGAGAGAGTTTTAAAAAAAGACATGAGGAGCAGATTTTGTTACACAGAGGGTGGTTCGTGTGTGGAATGAACCTCCTGAGGAAGTGGTGGATGTGGGCACAGTGGCAACATTTAAAAGACATCGAATTAAGTACATGAATAGGGAAGGTTTGGTGGGATATGAGCCAGGAGCAAGGAGGTGGGATCAGTTTAATCTGGGATTATGTTTGGCCTGGACTGGTTGGAGTGAAGGGACTGTTTCCATGCTGTAGGACTCTATGACTGTCTGTGATGTTTTTTTATGAAGCAGCAGAATTAAATGATCATAGTATTGAAGACTGTTAAATTAGAGGTTTACTATATTGAAATATTGCACCCGTAGCCTAAAGGCTGCTGTACCATATCTGAACCTTCTAACGGTCAGAACATTATTACCCCTCCCTGCGTGAATGAGAACTAATTGATATCACCTACCAGGAAGGCGATTAGACTTCTTTGGGGAGAATGCCATTCAAAGCAGCTCTGGATGTACTGCAGCGTATTCCATACTGCCCTTGTGATATTACGAACACGCCGAACATTCCTGGTTAATGTCTGTGAACAGAGGGAGGATACTGGATCAATGGCTGTTGTGCAGTCTAACAGCAGTACTCCAATTTGCTTTCACTGCTCTCGGGCTAATGATTGTGTACAAAAGGGTTTGATTCCATCAAAGGCCATTCTGAACAGTCAGACAGGAGCAAAGACTTTGTGATCTTTTCCTCTCCCTCTTCTTCCCTCCCCAACCACTGTCGTTTTCCAGGATTAACGAGGCTCTGAGATAGATGTAAAATAAAATCGCCAACGCTGTTATTTCAACCAGATCATGGCTGATCATCCATCTCATTGCTTCTTATCCGCAGTACCCTCACAGCTGTTTATGGTTTTAATATCTAGAAATCTATCATAAAAAATAGAAACAGGAGTAGGCCATTCAGCCCCTCATGCCTGCTCCTCCATTCAATAGGATCATGGCTGATCTGACACTCTGTATTTCCACCTTCCTGCATTTTTCCCCTTGATTCCCTGACAGATCAAAAATCTCTCTATCTCAGTCTTAAATACACAAAAGGACTCTGCCCCCATAACTCTCTGAGGCAAGGAATTCCAAGCCCTCTTAAATCCTTTGAGAGAAGAAATTCCACCAATCGCAGTCTTAATTTTTAAAAATTCATTCACGGGACGTTGGTGTCACTGGCCAGGCTAACATTTATTGCTCATTCCTAATTAAGAGTCAAATACATTGCTTTGCATCTGGAGTCACATGTAGGCCAGACCAGCTAAGGATGGCAGTTTCCTTCCTTAAAGGGCATTAGTGAACCAGATGGGCTCTTCCTGACAATGGACAATGGTTTCATGGTCATTACTAGGCTCTTAATTCCAGATTTTTATTAAATTCAAAATCTACTTCCATGGCCAGATTTGAACCCAGGTCCCCAGGTCCCCAGTCTAGTGAAAATACCACTAGGCCATCACCTCCCCTCTAACAACCCTTTATCATTCTCACTGGTTCTAGATTCTCCAATCCTCTCAAACCCCTAACAAACCCTATATGTCTCAATCTATGTCTCAAATGTGCTGATTACTGAATCTTCACAGCTTTCTAGAGTAGAGAATTCCAAAGATTCACCATCCCATAAGTGAAGAATTCCCAAACTGTCTCAATCCTAACTGGCCAACCTCTCACACTGTCCCTTGGTTCCAGAACCATCTCCCTCAACCCAACCAGGGAAAACGTCCTGCCCGCATCTAACGTGTTCTTGAACCCTGTAAGAATCCTCTACCCTTCAATCAGATCATCTCTCATTCTTCTAAACTTGAGAGAGTGTATAGGCTCACGTTCCGCAATCTCTCCTCGTCTGGCAATCAGGGACTAGTCTGATGAACTTTTGCTCTATTCCCCGTGTGATAAGTGCATCCTTCCGGTGGTCAGTAGACCGAAACTGCACACAATGCTCCAATATGGCGCTCTAAATTACTGCTGTAAGACTTCTTTACTCCTCTGTTCAAATCCTCTTGCAACAAAGGCAATTGAAAAAAGGTGCTATATAAATGCAAAACTCTCTCGTTTCTTTAATCCGTGTCATTAACCTGAGTTCCGTGAGCTCATTTGCTTTCAGACCTACTACAATAAAAGATTTGGCACCATCCGTAACTGTGCAAGGACCAATTCCCATCAAGGTAAGCACAGAAACATGGCTGCTTCACTTGGCTACATGATACAGGAAGGCCTCCAGCTCTTGAGTCAAAGCTTCAATATTTCCTACCTTGCCGAAGCAATGAACTGTTCATACCTACATTAATACTTCTTAAAACAGCAAAAAGACCTGCCTCACATGTTCTCAATCAGACAGCAGGTCAGTAATAGTCCACAGCAGATAACTAAAAGGAAAATGTTTCTTTTCTTAACAAAGTATGATAGAACCTTCCTTTCATCCAATCTGTTAAACTCACAGCCCGCACAAACGTTTGCAGAGCAAAGTACTACAAATGTTAGAAACAGGGCACAGACTTTTATCTTCCCCGGGGGCTTTAATTTCATTTGCATCAACTCATTTATTAGACAATGCAGTAACACAGTAATGTTACCTTCTATATTTGTGTTGAAGGAAGGGGAAAGAATTAGAAAAATTAGAAAATATCCTCAACAACCATCGGCCCTTTTACAACGCACGAGGACAGTGTTAATTTCATTGACGTCAGAGCATTCAAACTGGCAGAAAAACAACAGCAAAGGTTTTCTTCAGAATAACTGCAATACATTTCTACACTCAAAAAGACATCTCCCTAAATATAGCTTTCAAAGGCTGGGTGAGGTCACAGTTTATACCTTCCCAAAACATACTCACAAGATTTTAACCAGGCAGTTACTATTCTTTTTACTGCATCTTAGATCTCAATTAACAGCTGTCAATGTTCATTACAAAGCATCCACTGCATTTTCCCAGAGAAGTTCCTGAGTATCTGCAGCCTTAAGCTGGAGATTCCACATTAACATACAGATGGCTAAGGACTTCCTCCAGGCCCTCGGTAAAACAAAATCACAAAGACAAACAAGCCTGAAATTTTACAACAGTGACCACCTAATGATGTCCCCTATTTGTAACTGTTAAAGGGGGTCAGTTAGCTCACTTGGCTGGTTTGCAGTGCAGATTGATGCCAACATCTTGGCTTCAATTCCCACACCAGGTGAGATTACTATTATGGTCCTGCCTTCTCACCCTCTCCCCTCCCTGAGGCATGGTGACCCCTCAGGTTAAACTTACCACCAGTTACATCTCTCTAATGAGAGTGCAACTCTACTGGTCCTCTGGGACTATGGTGACATTATCTATACCTTCACTGTTACATCATTCGGGGCTCTAATAGCAGGAACCCTGAAAGCAATAAGAATACACCATGGGCTCAAAGAGTTAACTGAGAAACCACAAATTCGTAAATTATGGCTGCTGATGAAGAATATTCCAGTACCTTTCTGGAAAATTTGGTGTTTTCTTCTTGGTTCCTTGCTTCTTTGGGTTTAAATGTCCGGAGACTTGCTTTAATCTGAGGAAGTTTAAAAACAAAATGAGCATTTTCAGTAAATTTCCACAAGTAAGAGAAAATTCAGAAATTCACCCATTTGTGTCCCCATTAGAGGCGAGGCTTGAAGACTGCATAGGTTCAGGGCTTATTCTCTCATAATAAAAGATATTCTATTGAAGAAACCTGTTTGTTGTCTGAAGATTGACTTGCATTGAGATTTTAATCAAGAATAAGTTATACTCTCTTTGAATATGACTCCCATCTGAAAGTTCAGTCTCAGTGAATTTACTCCTTGGTTTGCTGGTTATCCAAGGCGCTGTGGGATAAAGTTGTTGCCATCCATAATTGCACCACAATCGCCTGGCACGCAAACATCCAGAAAACTGGATTTGTACCAACACCAATCTTTTCACAAGAACATTTCATAACTCCTTTCATAATTACTCTACAGGGGCAATTCCTTGTGGCATGCCCAAACTACCATTGGAAGAACAGTGGCTAGCACTGCTGCCTCAGTGACAGGGACCCGGGTTCGATTCCAGCCTCAGGCAACTGTCTGTGTGGAGTTTGCACATTCTCCCAGTGTCCGTGTGGGTTTCCTCCGGGTGCTCTGGTTTCTTCCCACAGTCCAAAGATGTGCCGGCTAGGTGGATTGGCCATGCTAAATTGCCCGTAGTGTTCAGGGAGGTAGAGGGTGTTTATTAGGTGGGTCATGGGGGATGGTCTGGGTGGGATGCTCCAAGGGTCAGTGTGGACTTGTTGGGCCGAAGGGCCTGTTTCCACATTGTAGGGATTCTATGATTCTGAACTCAAAGACTGAAGCAAACCAGCCTTCAAGATGAGTGGCCACTACAAACTCAATAATGCAATGATCCTGAAGATGCAAGAAACTCGGAGACCTACCTGCACTCAATACCTCACTGCAGTACCTCCCATCCTTTCAAGGAATTCATTGCCTGGTTGGGACCCATTTAAATAGGTAGGTGCCACCTCAATTTTTCACACATTTCTACCACTTTGCTCAGTTACACTTCATACCTCAAGCAGGTTAATGCACCAACCTTTCAGAGAATTTGGTTTATTTAGGAATTTTTTTTTGAGAAATAGATCACAAGCTGGGAGAAGACGTGGGAGCATTTGTCAACAAGAACATCAGCATTTCACTCTGAGATAGTAAGAACGGCAGATGCTGGAGTTAGACATCATACAGTGTGGAGCTGGAGAAACACAGCCGGCCAGGCAGCATCAGAGCTGACGTTTTCGGTCGGGACCAGTCTTCATTTCTGAAGAAGAGTCCTGACCTGACACGTCAACTTTCCTGCTCCTCTGATGCTGCCTGGCCTGCTGTGTTCCTCCAGCTCCATGCAGCATTTCACTCTGCTGGCTCAGTGGTTAGCTCTGCTACCTCACAGCGCCAGGAACCCAGGTTCGATTCCAGCTTCAGGTGACTCCCTGTGTGGAGTTTGCACATTCTCCCCATGTCTGTGTGGGTTTGCTCTGGTTTCCTCCCACAGTACAAACATGTGCAGTTTAGGTGGAATAGCCATGCTAAATTACCCCGTAGTGTCCAGGGATGTGTGGCTAGGTGGATTAGCCATGGGAAAATGCAGGGTTACAGAGATAGTGTAGGGATGTGGGTGGGATGCTCTTTGAAGGGGCAGTGTGGACTCGATGGGCTGAATGGCCTGTTTCCACACTAAGGATTCTATTCTGACATAATTTATCTCTTTTACAGTGGTTGAATGCAAAGTAAAGCCACATTTTCTTACAATAAACTGCAAGCTAAGATTTCCGGAAAGCTTCACAAAACTATGGTGTAAAAGCAGAGCATTACTGAATCCATCTAGCACAGCGAGGAAAACCAGGATTAATCGCTGATCACTGCCATCCTTCATTTTTCTTGATTGAGTGCTGCTGCATTAGCCCTTGCTGCAACTCGACTATATTCGTGAACATAGCTCCAGCTCCAACATCGACAACCACGTATTGACAATCAACAAACAAGTTTCCTGCTTCCATGTTTGTTCTGAAGAGAAGTAAAATTTATACGCAGCGTGGCCGCAAACCACTATTTCTGCTCTTCAAAAAGAAATTTGTCAAAAATCTTCCCTTTCTTTTATTATTGTAACATGTACCCAGGTACAGTGAAACATTTTGTTTTGCATGCATCATACCATACAAAGTGCATTAGGGTAATCACAATAAGTCTATTAATAAGTATATGAACAGCAGGGTTGTTCTTCAATGTGTCGGTACATGGGTTTAAACTTTTGTATCTTCTGCTGAACAGAAGAGGTTGGAAGAGATTATAATTGGTGTGGGAGGAGTCTTTGAGTATACTGAGAGCACCAGTGTACTTTCTATACCATGGAATTTTTTTTTGAGTCCTGAAAATATTTTATAATAGGCGACTTGTATCTTCTTAAATGGGCCTTGTTTAATTTGTTTAACTGATGGTTCAATGCCTTCAAACTGAATTCTCATAATATTAGTAATAGTGAGGGAGTTAAGTTATTAAATAGTTAAAGTTATCCATATCCACTGATATCCATAGCCATAGGGCAGCTGTTAGATTCTGCACAGTTTAATATTGCTGGATGTACTGACAAAACGGTCAGCAACAGGCCATTCAGTTTTTCCAGCATGTCGCACTATCATTCTTTAATATTATTATTAATATTAAGACATTAACCACTGTATACAATATAACAGGGACTTAAACAAATTAAGACATTGCTTTTAGTTACAGTAAATACAAAGTGTTGCAGATGCTGGAAATCTGAAATATTTACCACCCTCTCTGTAGGACTTGATCGTTTGCACTGATTTCTGCCCATTTAACCTCAGTTTTTACATTCTTGTCTCAGGAAATTCGGACTTAAATTGCGAATGACAAAAATCAGTGTAAAAAAAGGTCTAAATTTTGACTTCACACCGCTAAAGAAATTCCAGTGTTGCCTCATTTCTAGACTTGAGGACTTTCCTGCAAAACATAATCCCAAAAACTTATTCACTTCAACACTCCATCATTGCACCATGAGCAAAAACTGTTTACGTTCTTGGCAGATTCACCACAAAGTCAACTTAGGTGTTCCAGCTCTTACATACAGGATAGATTCACTTCTACAAAAACAGATGTGAAAATCACATAATTTGCAGTGAATGAATGCATAAAATCTAAATTTGGAGTGAGACGTCTTTAACTGTCAGTCAGAGTTGCCCTCGTCTGTCTATCGTTGTGTTTCACTGGAACCCCAACACTGCACATCTCAAATGAAATTCAGCGAAGCATCAAATTAATATGAAAAAAACGTCTGGTTCACTTGCAATCCAAACCAAAGCCTCAATAATTCCTCACACATCTAAATTGCTTCTTATTAAAACGCTTTGTGTAATGTACATTACAGTTAAAATCTATTCAAAAATAGCATTTTCACACAATTTGTTCTATAATAGAGTTAACAGCTTGCCATTACCTGTTTAGCAACAAAGAACTATCAGTATTGACATTCCCAAACAACAATGGGATACCACTGATTTCACAATCTTGAAGGTTGCACTAAAAAGTAAAAGCCACAGGTCTTTCTTTTATTTAAAGAGATCAACTGTAGCTGTCCAAAGGTCTACTGTACAGAAATACCACCAAAACCTGTGGATCTAAATGCATTTAACCATAGCCCCCCAACACTGTGTTCAGGGAATTGGTCTCTGCAATTCAACAGTGAAACGGTGCTTTCCATGATCAGAGGAAGTACAATATCTTAAAACAAAAAGTGGCAGAAATGGCTTCAAGCATTTTGTACAGGACCAATACAACAGAGGCATGAGAACACCATCACCCCCAAGCGACACATTGTCCTGACCTTGGAAACATATCACCCATTCCCTCATCGTCAAAATGCTGCAACTCCAAGCAGAACTACATTGCGGAGGCACCTTCAAGCAGCAGTTCAAAAGGGTTACGAAGGATGGGGAATAAACAGTGGCCTTGCCTTTGGTATCCATATCCAGAGAAGAGCAGTTTCACTGTTAGATTCTGCACAATTAATGTTGCTGGATATACTGACTATTAATATTTCAGCTCGTTAGAGACACAACAGTCAGCAAAGGAACAGACTATTCAGTTCATCCAGCCTGCTCTTTCATTCATTTAAAATGATTAAATTCAATAAATAGTCCATCACTTCTGTTCTTTGGTTTTAAAATAGCTACAATGATGTTGGATTTCTAAGGATGGTACTGACTCACCACACCACGCTAGCAAACTTTACAAGTTCATATCCTGGTGGTGGCCATAAGACCATAAGTTAAAGGAGCAGAATTAACTCATTCAGCCCAATGGATCTGCTCCACCAATTGATCATCCCAACTCACCTGACTTCTCACTGTAGACCTTGATCTCCTGGCTAATCTATAGAGTTATAGAGTAATATCCATCTCTGTCTTCAATGATTTGACCTCCACAGCCTTCTGTGGCAACAAGTTCTACAGATTCACCACCCTCTGGCTGAAGAAATTCCTCCTCATCTCAGTTCTAAAGGCTCAACCCTTCACTGAGGCTGTGCCCTTCGTTCATAATCACTTTAACACTCCATGATTGCACCGTGAGCAAAAACTGTTTCTGTACTAGTGGAAATATCTTCACTCTATCCATGCCTCTCGGTATTCTGCAAGTTTCAATCAGATCCCCCCTCATCCTTCTAAACTCCATCGAGTACAGACCCAGAGTCTTCAACCCCTCCTCATATGAGAAGCCCTTCATTCCTGGGGTTATTCTTGTAAACCTCCAGACACCCTCTAAAGCCAGCACATCCTTCCACAGACACAGGACCCAAAAATGCTCACAATATTCCAAATGCAAAGTGGCAGATTCAGTCAAATAGTTGGTGTAGTTCCTTGCATTTCTCTTGGAGTTGTCGAGCAGTGGAAATCATGTCCGTAGTTCTACGGTTTGGTCAGAAGCCTCACTGGCTTTCCGGAAGGATTCCTTCAGAGTCTGGGAGAAGGCTCCTGGGAAGGTTGATGGTCTGCCAGCCATACCCACTCTCCTCTTATTGGTCTGTGAGCTGCCATCAATCAGCCAGGCTCCATTGTGAGGTGTCAGACGATGATCTACCTGGCGATGCAAAGTAGGGAGCTCCCTCGGTATTTCCCACAGTTCGCTTTGTCCCGTTCCTTGAAGACAATGGTGATGGCAGCATCCCCGAGATCAGCAGAGATTTGCTCTTTGTCCTAGATTTTCAGGAACAGTCGATGGAAATGATGGGTAAGCTCTGCTCCTCCAAATTTGAAAGCTTCTGCTGGGATCCCACTCCCTCCTGCAGCTCTCCCATTCTTCATGTGTCTAATGGCAGCTTCAATTTCTGCCACACTAGGTGGGAGTCCAACATCATCTTTGATGGGGAGCTGGGGGATTTCCTCAAACTGGTCCTTATCTACAATTATATCACGGCTTTGGAGTTCTTTGAAGTGTTGTCTCCATCAAAGGCTAACGTTTTCTCCGTCTCTCAAAAGGGTTCCATCCTTACTCCGCACTGGTTTGAGGGCAGAAGTGTCGGGCCTATGTATTACCTTGGCGGTAGTGAATAAGGCCAGAGTATCAATCTTGTCAGTGATTACAGAATGGTTCATTACATAATAATTCATTACAATAAGTTTGTCATTATCACAGTGAGACTGAACTTCTGCCCATTTTCTCCACTAAGGTAAGTTCACAAGATATGATTATCCTCACAGCCTGTTCAACAGAGTTGCAAACAAATTTGCGCTGCAGTATTTCCATTCTCACTCACCGGGTTATAGATTATATCCATCTGTAAGTAAAGAACTCCTTTCTCTGGTCGGCCCAGCTTTCTGTTCTTCAGAAAATAGGCAGTCTGTTGACCGTTCTTGATCTAGAGTCAGAAAGCAGAATATTCAGTGGAAACAAAACTTAACAATGCAACCTCACACCATTGTTAGCTTGTAAAAATAGAAGTGACAGGATCAACCCAGTGACTATGTCTACACACAAACACACACACACACACACAGTGTTGCTGCAAAGGTAAAACTGCTTGTGCATCAATGCTCAAATTGGAAATATTTAAAAGGGTCAGGTGGAGTCTGAAATTAAGCCTTCCCTCCAGGAGTTTTGCTATATTTTGCTTCAATGTCAACCCAGGCTGTGACCCTAGGGCTGAGATCTTCTTTATACTTTAACTAAATGGATTTGACAATGATTATCCTCATGTAAACTTGTACCAAATCTGAAATAAAGCCAGACACACCTCAGCGAACTATTCACTCACCTACTTCAATAGGTTGTTTGGAAGCTGCTTAACTTCACGTTGTGAGACAGAGTAGTGATTTAAAACAGGACCAGGATGAGAAATGCGGATGTGAGGACTTGTTTAAGAAGATCAGTTGTTGCAGCAATGTGGCATAAAGGGTTGTTGGACTAGGTTTGGGTTTAGAAAGTGCAGCTGAGTGTGAACAGAGGGATTGTTTCTTATGAGGGAAAAGACACCAGGAATTGGAGTTGGAAGGAGGAAAGGGGATGGGATTGGAGCGTAATATAAGGAAGTAATCAGTGATAGCCCTTGAGTAGCAAGGACTCATGATATGGCAAGGTCAAAGGGGTGGCTGTGACAATTGAGTTGGTGGGTTTACATAGAGACAGAGACACATTAAGGAAAGTTCATCTGTTATCATCATCATGGGTCATTGTTTGGGCTGACGATTGATGGAGACTATGAAAGATTAGGCTGTTGGCAACTTTATCTTTCATTTTTGTTTTTGAACAATACAAGAACAAGGCTTTAAATGAGGCTTCACCTGGAACAATCTCTCAGTAATTCCAGTAATCATGAGAGCTTGCATTACTAATAGATGTAGACCCTTTTATTTACATATCAACAATAACCCTTTGCACTACATCTTCCCCCAGTTTTTGCGTCTGCCAATACATGATTTACATTTTCCTCCAGATAAAAGAGCAGTGAACTCAGAATAGAGAGCACAATGAGTTGAGATCGCGTTTGAAATCGCTAAGGATGAAAATCTGCTCAGTGAGGGGTGTAAAAACAGTGAAGCTATCTCTGTGAGGAAATTTTCATCATATTTGGCTGGTCAGTAGAGAATGAGAAATTTAAATCAAAGCTGAGAGAGAGGGTGATGGTTCTCTGATGTGTTGCTGATTCCCCAAACGTGGCATACATTTTGATGATGCTCAGCCTTTCCACATAGTATAATAGTTTATAATGAACACTGACTGACCATTACAAAAACAGAAGTTGCTGGAAAAGCCATGCAGATCTGAGGAAGGGTCACCAGACCCGAAACGTTAACTCTGATTTTTTCTTCACAGATGCTGCCAGACCTGCTGGGCTTTTCCAGCAACTTTGATTTTGTTCCTGATTTACAGCATCCGCAGTTCTTTCGGTTTTTAGTGATTGACCATTGTCCATTCTACACATGATGTCTGGGCCTTGAAATTTCTTGCCCTCTGGCATTGGACCACTAGAGTTTGGAGCAAACAGGTGAACTTCTCAGCTGCTTTCTGTCTAGAGTTTACCAGGATGGGGCTGTCTTCTTTCCCTTCAATGGAAAACGTGTCAGAATCTTTAGTCAGTTTGAACCTAAGTAACTGGAAATTAAGGCAAACTTGCTTGTTCCACCTCCGGTTCTAAAAGGATTGACTGATAATAACGCATTCCTCAAGATTCAAGCAACTTTAAGGTAAATATGTAACTCCCAGGACAGCATATCCCATTCATTTGTCACAATGTTAACTCATTGGGCAATGCATTAGGGTCCAGATATGTCCCTGTTTGTCTGGCAATGACAAGGCATCCAGCTGAAGACAAGGTGCAAAGCTTAAATTGTCAGGGTCAAGGGCGGATGAGCAGAACAAACAAATTTATCCAACTTTGACCTTGGCTACGTTGGGCTCCGACAGAACACCAGTAGGAGGGCCATTAGCTACATATAAGAAAGTGGCAAAGTTGTAGCCTTTTTAAGGCCTGCTGCCTGTCAAAAACTCTTTGGCAAGAATCTGAAGATAATTATAGGGCAGTGGGAGTCTCACCCACTTGGCTTAAGTGAAAGGGTTTTTGATATCACACGGATGATTATGGGTTTGGTACTAGTGTAAAAAAATGACTGACGATCACAAATCTCTAAGCACAACACTTGTAAGTAACACTGATGACAGAAAAAAAACATGCCGAGCTTACAGAAAGCAAGGGTATTGCAACTTTGCCCAGAAAGTCTGGTGGCTTGTCTCCATCTTCATCAAAGACCGTCACCTCGAGGACATCATGGATGTCCTTAATGTTACTATGAAGAGAACAGGAAGACACAATTAGAAAATATGCACTTTCGTAACATGCCTGATCATTTCTGATTAGGCTAATGCTCTTTTAATAGCACAAAATTTAAGGCTGTGATTAAATTCACTCAAGGCTTGTTTCACAATATTTTTAGAAAATTTCAATATTACTTGGTACTGAATACTGAATTGACAAAAGGATTTTATGCAGAACAATTGAAGGAATAACTAACAATCCATGAACTTACTACGTTTTGCTGCTTAAGGCTTGATAGTCAGGGCTATTTTATACCTAACCCTCAAAAGAAAATCTATCCCCACTTCCCCACCATTGGGGCATTGAAGAGATAAAACCTTCAGGTTAGTTTAGCTGTAACTTACAATGAGAATACTTTGTTCCATTCAGGATTGAGGTTCTTGTACACGGTGTGAGTTTGCAGCTTATCATTGCCCAGCTCCAGAACACAGAATGGATCGCTTTTCCCTACATGTGACCAGATAAAATATTCACTGGTTAAACAAAAAGACTGTGGAGCAAATCTTAAGTGTTAAAATAAGTTGCTTAAGAATATAGATACATGGAGGAAGGTATGACAAAGAATTATAAAGAATGATACCAGATCTGCAAGGTTATAACCATCAGGAAACACGAATGAAAGATCTATAAAATTACATAAGGGTTTGACATTGACATAGGGAAGATGTATGCCCTTGAGGAATAGTCGTTGAGATCGATAGCATAACTGTATTTAAGGTAAGGCCAGATAGTTAATGAGAAAGAAAGGAGTAGAAGGGTATTCTGATAAGAGTTTGAGAAAGCAGGGTGAAAGGAGGCTTGTGTATAGCAGGGACACAGCTGGTTTTGCTGAATAGCCTGTTTCTTACTGTACGTTCTGCTTAATCCTATTCATAGCTGCATCTAACAATCTGATGGTATTAGCATTAAGCACAGAAGGACAAGGGCAGTGCCTTCGAAGATTTGACTTACATGACTATCGCTATCGGATGAATACAAAATAAGATTGAAACTGCATGGGTCAGCTTTCCCTGAACCCAGGGAGTTAACAGCAGTGGGAAGGGTTGGAGAAACAGGAGGGAGTCACATTGGGAGGAATCCTGTGTATATTCTTACCCCAGGGAGGTTTCCAGGGTGTGAGTTGGGAGGCGGGTCTACTGTTCACTGCAATATAGTGGGCAATCCATGCGCGTGTTTAAGGGACTGAGTTGTATACATTTACTGTGCAGTGCTCGCTGGTATTTTGCTGACAGCAGTATGGGCCCCAGCCTAGATAATGGCTTGGTTCTCCTTTGAATATTATCTGGATCTCTTTTTTTTTAAAACGCTAAAAAAAATTGCACTTCTCAATAAGTACATCTCTTTCTGCACAGACCACTGGCAGCATGGTGGCTCAGTGGTGATCACCGCTGCCTCACAGCACCAGGGACCTGAGTTCAATTCCACCCTTGAGCGACTGTCTGCGGAGTTTGCGCCTTCTCCCTATGTCTCCGTGGGTTTCCTCTGGGTGCTCCGGTTTCCTCCCACAGTCTAAAGATGTGCAGGTTGGGGTGGATTGGCCATGCTAAATTGCCCATAGTATCCAGGGAATGTGTAGGCTATGTGGATTAGCCATGAGAGATGCAGGTTACAGGGATAGGATAGGGAGGTCTATCTGGGTGGGGTGCTCTTCAGAGGGTCAATGTGGAAATGATGGGCTGAATGGCCTGCTTCCACAATACAGGGATTCTAGGATTCTGCTCCATTCCTCTTCTCAGACTCTCACAAATGACCACTAACACTACTGTACACATCTCTATTTCACTACAATAACCATTAACCCATTACTCAATGGAGGTTCCTGGAGTGCAGGATCTGTTCAGAGGGCTGCCAGAAGTGAAGATCACATTTATGTGCCAAATGCTACTGTTAGAGAGCTATCCCCTCTGAACGGAAGGTGTGCTTGCTTGGTCCCTGTCATTGTCTAAACTATCTCTTTGTCAGGGCACCTTCTCAATCTCTGACCTGCCTCAGCAGCACCTGCAACTGGAGCTGTTGAGCGTCCAGAGTAGCTGGCACTCTGACTGAGCACTGAAAGCCCTGGATGTCAGGCTTGAACGTGGATAATAAAGAGGCTTCCTTTAATAATCAATCTCCTGGTGTCAATGCCATCAAATGCAAACTAGGGGCACCTTTTTGTTTTACACCCAACATCAGGGTCCTGAAGTCCACAGTAAAATCCTGCTTTATGCTTCTAATGTTCCCTATTTCTTCCGACACAAGTGAGGCAACAATACAATACATTCCTTGTGATTAGCATACAAATATTTACTCACCACCACATGCAAAAGCAGGCATTTATCACAATTCTATGATATAAGGCCTTTCACAACCACATGGCATTCCAAAATAAGTTGTGTCTCAAGAAAGATTTTTGAAGTGCTGTCAATGTTGTAATCTAAGAAATGGGGTAACCAAATTGTGCACAGCAAGATCCCACAAAAGACAAAGCTTCAGTAAGCAGATCATCCATATTTCACCCTTGGTTGTGGGATATATGTTGGTCGGGACTGTAAGAGTTCCCACATTGTTCATCAAGTAGTGCCATGAAATCATTTATCCACCCGAGCAGGGACTCAGCATTTCATGGTTCTCTGTTCATCTTGACAATGGATCCAGTACTATCCAAGAACTTAAGTTTGTTGAAAAAAAGGGGCAGATCTTGTTGACACACTTATCCAGTAATCGTCAGGGCAATTCACAAGAAATAGCAAAGGTAAGGGAAAACAACATTTATATTGCATGAGAGATTGATTGGTAAGTGGATTCTGATTAGTAGAGGCAGTGACATGGAGAATGCACCTGCTAATGATGATTGACAGTTAACTCGCAAGCCTTGTTTTCCTTTTCATGCCCTGGCAAGAACTAGAAAATGGCTGTCATCTCTTTCATTTAGTTAAAACAGGCCTAATGTGCACACAATGCTCTTTAGCCTGAAAAGTATAGGACCCTGTATATTAATGCACATACTATTGCATATATTCCAATGTGCCTCATTGTAAGCATGACTTACAAATAATACCAAAGTGACTTATCTAAGAAGTAGACTGTAAACTGCCCTTACTTTAAACAGGTGATCAGGGTAAATCCTACCCATTAGTGTTTTTAATATCATTTCAACTTCTTAGCAATGACAATGATGGAACTCTTCAAAATCCCAGAAAAAAAGTCAACAAAAGATTAAAAAAAAGGGATGAATACACTGAAAAGCTTAAAACGTTTATGGTGGAAATTAAACAGGTTAGTGATTATAATGATTACAAATACATATACTTGGCCCATATATTCTTAATTCACAGGGATAAACACTAATTGATCAATGGTTTCAAGCCAGTCATTTAATGTTGTAAAAAGTGGGAACTTGTCATTTTTATAACAATCTGCTAGTACTAAAATAATCTGCTCAGATAAAGGATCAGTAATTAAACGCTCCTGAAGAGAACAGGCAAGACATGGATCCTATGTTAGGGCCCTAAGTCCACCTGGAGTTCCTCATCTCACACTTCGTAAGTCTACATTTGAGATTTCATACAGTATTGCTTCAAAATTCCTATCCTAAGCAAGTAACACCACCATTTAAAAATTCACAACCTCACCCAGCTCAACACATTCAGTTTATCCATCCCCTTGCTTTACTCATTGTTACCTCATGCAAGTTAAAATCCACAGTAAAACATGCGATGCCCTTCACAGAAGATTGCCATGTTTAGGCTCAAAGTCAAGTTTACACTATAGTTACCTTGGCCAGCTTTCTGTTGGAGTACCTTCCAGTTTCCGCAATATACCTGCAGCCTGGAGTGGAACTCTCACTTCCACATGGAGTAGGTCCCTGGTGGCATCATAGTGTGGGCTGGGAAGCCAAGAGTGGGACACTCTCAGTGGCACGGAGTGGGCTGGGAAGCCCAGAG